CTATCCACTCTCTTTTTCATATGGAGCAAATGCTGCTGCCTTTTCATTTCTCATGAGTTTAAGACTTCTTTGATAAAATTCTTACTTGAGGCAGTGCAAGCTACAAACAAGACAATTCTTCAGAGGAGAGAACCGAAGGGAGAAGGTGAGGCATTCTCAGGTCAATGTGAGGGGAAAGAGAGCCAAGTATCTATATTTAATCTGTACTCCCAACCACAGATTGTGTTCTTTTATTCCTGTAGTTGTGCATATAATGTATGGGTAGCAACCCCTCCAAGTACTGCATCAAAATTTTATGTAAGCTGGAGAACATACACATATAACAAAGGGAAGGCTTTCTCCTTACTTTCTCTCTGATGAAATGCCAGGAGGAATGGCTGCTGGCTTTAGTGTCAAAAAGATGATGGCTGCTCTTTCTAAGGTTTGTCATGGTAAGTGGACATGAGATTTTATTCACAAGAGAATAAAGGTAAAGCCATGCTGGGCTTGGAGGTTGTGAAGGCTATGACAGTTTGGGCTAACTAGCCCCTGCAACACACAGGCATGCACATACACACACACACACACACACACACACACACACAGTGTGATATCATCAAATTGTTATTATTTTTTTTTTCAAGACAAGGTTTATCTTTGCAACAGCCCTGGCTGTCCTGGAATTTGCTTTATAGACCAGACTGTCCTGGAACTCACAAAGTTCTGCCTGCCTCTTCTGGGATTTAAGGCACCACCACCACCTGACCTTCAAATTGTTAACCTTGGGATATGACAATGACATGTAAAGGAAACAAATTAGACCTATAAAAGTTCAAACCCAATCCTTGTTAATGAATAAAGATAAGCATTGTCATTAGGTTAAAGCCTTTTGTTATACACAATTAAGCTTCTGGCTATATTTCTGTAAAGCTGAAACATTAGGCAGTTAGAAGTTAGTATTCAGATTGTATATTTACTACATTATTGTGTTTAGTGTTTCTCAGACTAGAATCCCAGTTGCTCTTATACTGGTCCATTCTCAGAAGAGAAACACTATATTCTAATCCCTTAGTGTCTGTGTTTTTTTGTTTGTTGTTTGTTTTGTTTTGCTTTGAAGTTCACTTTGGGATACACAAAAGAACAAGGAAGACAAATATAACAAGCATTTTGGAAAACTATAAAATTGTAGGGTGGGTGATCATTCCCTCTTCCTGCTAGGTGAAAGTGGGAACATTGTAGTGTTTCCTCCCAGGCCTGGGCCAGTGATATAAACCCTTCTTGCAATGTAACGAGCACATACCGAATCTGACATTTGCTCCTCTTCCTCCTAGTCATCAACATATCCAGTACCAAAGCTTGAGCATCCTTAGAATGGCACTTCAGACCCTGTTGCCCCACAGTCAATTCTGTAAAATTATAAACCGTCTTAAAATAGGATTTTACTCTAAGGTAGGAGGGATCCTCAACCGAATAGTCACACTGCACTTTGAATGACTAATTTAAGCCATTACATTGCAAAATAAGGGATAAATCATACTTTTCATAATACGACCACATAGGAGCAGTTTTAATTTTAAGAGTCAAGCACCTACATTAATCTGAGTCTAATATAATAGGGCCCTGATTTAAAATCTCCTAACATTCTTTCACACTTCATAAAACTAAAAATAAAACTGCCTCACCAAATAGTGACCTAGGGTCCAGCTGATGTACTGTATTTCAAGGAAACTGAAGCACTCGCTCTGGAAACCACTATGTGCAGGCAAAATTGCAGTTTGTAGCCTTAATTGGTCTTAAATGTGGGGTGGAAGCGAGAGGAGACTCTGGTCTGTAGAGAATGAGATTTATTTTCCTTTTTAAATCAAAAGCAGATCCCATGGTTCAGCTGCCCCCTGACTCTTCCGCTCCACCAGGGGGATGTCCCCCCCCCATATTTTTGTGTATATTTTACTCGAAGATGACAGGTGAGGGGAGGTGACAGTGCTTAGTGCTTTTCAGAAGTAAACAGAGGGGTTAGACGGGTTTATTTATTTACTAGGCGTCCAGCCTCTCAGCTGTTTCTCGTCGCTGGCATTTGGAAGCTTGCAGCCCTTTATGGATGAGACAGATTTGGCAGACTCGTTCTTTGTGCCGCCTCCCTTTTCACTGGGGGGGGAGGTTGGGGGGTGAGTGAGAAGAACGCAGATTTATGACAGCCTTGGGGGAAGGGAGGTCGAAAAAGTTTCAGCTGGTATGATAATACCCATCCCCCCCCCCCCCCCCCCCGCCACGGATAACACTGTGCCACAAACAGCTTTTGGTGCCACTCGGAGCCCTGCCCCCGCCATCCCCTCCCTTTCTCTCTGCAGGCTCGAGCTGGCAGGCGCAGGCACACTTAAATTCCAGCACGGTCTCCACATTCCCCTGAACTACTACGTTCTATTACTACGACTGTCCACCCCTTCCCTTCGGGGTCTTCACCAGCCTCTCCCGAGGAGCTCGGATGACTACTGCCAGCCGAGGGACACGCGGCGCCCTAGTCCAGCAGGGCTGCGGGCTGGCTGCATGTCCTGCGCAGTTTCTCTGCTCCAGGCACAAACACAGCAGAGAGCCGGCGCCTCGCAGACACACACGGATCCACGCATACAGTAGAGCTGTCTCGATCCACATTCTTGCACACCGCCCCCTGCTCCCCCCCGCGTGCGGAGTCGCTGAGCAGGGCGAGTGACAGGAGCGTCCCGCCAACCCGCGCCGGGCCGGGCAGGGAGGAGCGGCGCGCGGGGCCAACTGCGGCGCGTCTTCCGGCGCCCGTGGAGGCGGCGAGGGTGGGACGCGGGGCGGAGCCCGAGTTTAGGAAGAGGAGGGGACGGCTGTCATCAATGAAGTCATATTCATAATCTAGTCCTCGCTCCCTCTGTTTCTGTACTCTGGGTGACTCACAGAGGGAAGATTCAGCCAGCACACTGCTCGCGAGCAAGGTAAATATAACTTACAACTCCTTTCTCTTCTCTCCCTGGCTCCGGCCTCCAGGCTGCATTCGCAGCCGAACCCCTCCGGCACCGCACCGCCTTCACCCCGGATTATGCATCCTTATCCTAATCATTATTTATTGTGCATGCTCGAAGACCAAAACAAACAGGCGGGCCAACCGCTACAACAACAAAAAGCCCGCCTCTTCCTCGCGGGCCTCAGGTGGAATGCTCTAACGACAGCTCCCGGGCGGCGATAGAAGAAACCAGAAAGTTTCCACCGAACCTCGCCATTCTAATAATAACAACAGTGATAATTACTACTTCAAGGGGACAAGGGGAAGAAATCCCAACAAGCCATAGCCTTGACCCGGGGCGGGCTGACAGCGACGAGCTGCCAACTCAGGGTTGCAACACTCTCGGCCAGGTTGCATCCCCCATCCCCATCCCCTTAAAAGCGGCGCCGGGTGAGGGGTGGGGGGGTGGCAAGAGCAGTCTGGGGGAACCGGAGGGGGGGGAGGCTGGAAGGAAACGCGACAGTTCACCCGAGCCATCCTCTCCATTAGAGTTGGAAGGAAACGAGAAAGGAGGGCGAAGAGCCCGGGCTGGCGGCAGGGCGCCAACCAACACGGCTGCTACTTGTCTCCCAGAGACTTGTTTAAAGGGCTCCGGCAGCGGGGACGCGAGCAGACCGTGGCGGCGGGAGTAGTCCAGGCTGGCATACTGAGCAGGCGGCGGCCGAGTCGGTGCCTGCGGGCTCGGAGGTGTCACCTCCACTCCTCGGGTCCCCTCGGGCAGGGAAGGAGATGTTGACTGGTGACAGGCCTTCAGGCGAAGGGTTTGCCCTGGGGACTGTGGCCGTGGCGCCGCAGACCTCCTTGTCTGGTACACGGAGGCAGCGCGGGCTGGGGTATTGAAGTTCAGGGTGTCTAACCCGGGTCCCATTGCAGGGGGTGGAAGGAAGCCCCAAGGAAAGAAGTACGAGGTGCCTTCAGGGCTCCGTTAGCCTGCCCTACCCCCTCTTTGGGTTTGTTTTCTTGTGCTTGGTGTCTTTCCTTGGCTTGCGCCGAGGAAGCCGCGGCTGTGGGGCGCCTGGGATGTTCTGGATGTCAGGGGCGCACAGGGACCCGGGAGAACCGCGGAGGCTGAGGGCTGGGAAGGCCATGATCCGGATAATCCTCTCAGCCTGACTGTCACAACAGGACCCGCGCGCGCCCGGGTAGCGGCCGTGGCTTTCGCCCGGGAAGGGAAAGGCTGCAGTGGAGAGGGAAGGGGGGGGGTGGCGAAGGAGGGAGGCGGGGAGAGCCGGTGGGAGCCTCCTCCCAGCTATGACACTCACCCCTTCCTTCTCGCTGTCTGCTTTGAGTTTGCTATATTCCCATCCCAACCTAGTTCACCCCTACCCCTGCCAACCCCCAAAGCCGGGATGCCTCCCCTCCGGTTGGCGTTGCAAAACAGGGCCACGCCATCTGCAAAGGTGCCGCGATGCACTTCCCCAAATCACCGGTCCAGCGCGCCAGCCCCTGGGCGCCCTCCAGCCACCAAGCGCACACCATCACTGTTTCCCCCTGGTGCCCCGCACCAGGCCGCGCAGCCTGGACACAGTGACACCGTGCCGGGCGGGGCGCAGCGGTGCAGACTCCAGGAGACACCCGCACTCCGGTCCCGGCGTTTGCGCCGGTTTCCGGTACCCCGGGGGAGATCGCCGGGTGCGGGTGTCTGCGTTCGCCCCCGCCGCCTGGATTACATTATTATTTTTATCTGAGTTGCTGTTTGCTGCGGATGGTGGTGAGCGGGGGATTGGCGGGGCTGCCTGGGGGATGGGAGCGGAGGGAAGTTGGACACCAATCAACCCGGAAAAAAAAAAGTTTGGCAGGGCCACAAGTCGGGTGGAGGGGCAGGAGGGGGCGGCGGACTAGCGCGAGTGTGCAGTGCGCTAGGGACCAGTGCGTGGCGAGCTGTGCGGGCTGCGCCTCCCGCCTGAGCTCTCCCGGGAGCCGGACGCAGACCCGGCGGGGTCTGGTGGCGAGAGGGCGGGAGGCGGTGGCGGTGCGTGCGGCGGCGGCGAGGGCGAATGCGTGGCGCGCGCGAGCGAGCAGCGGAGAATCAGGAAGTCACCGCGGCGAAGCGCACAGACATGTTTGATCGCCGTGACATGACGCGCGCGAGGGAGGAAGAGGAGGCGGCGGGGGCAGGGCCGCGGGCACCGGCCTAAGCAGTGGCGTGCACTCCGCTCCCTCCCTGCCCCAGGCGCCACCCGCCTGAGCCCGGGGCCATTCCGCGTAGCCCAGGTAAGGAGCCTGCTGCTCTTGCCGCCGCCACCGCCCGCCGAGCTTTCTAGGTCTTTCTCTGCGGGGGCCCCCTCAGGTCTCTGGCTCGCCTTCCTTGCAAAGTCAGGCAGGCAATCGATCGCAGGGAAAACTTTCCAGCGGGAGGCACCGCGCGGGGGAGAAGGAGGCCTCGCGGGTGGCTGGGCTGGCGTTGTCAATCCTTTCTGCTCCAGGTCCGGAGAGAGTGAGTCTCGCCCTGCGGCTGTTCAAACTTCGGGGCCTAAACATGCCTCCACTCTCCTAGGATTCAGTCCATTAAGAAAAGAAACATCCCAAGCGGTCCACTCTCTCGTGGGGCATTGAGGTGTTTAAAGCGAAGGAAGAAGGTGTAGGAGTGGAGGGGGGGGGTGTAGTGCAGAATCATTCCTCATTCAGTGTCTGCACCGGGTGTTATGTAATTTTAGTAGCACATGGGTGCGAAGCCCACACTGGGCTTCTCCCTCCTTTGTTTATATAACTTTTGGAGAGTTTTGCCAGGCTGTGTCCTTTTTTTTTTTCCCCTCCTCCCCAGTGCGGTGGAGGGAGGTTGGTGCTTTTGAAAAACCAGAGTGACCGGAGTTAGCAGTGTTTTGGAGAGGTGTCATCATTGTGTCCTTTCTAGTCAGTATGTTGACACGTATTCCTTTGTATGCATAACAATGGAGCATAAGGAAGACGTTAAGGACCACGTTTGTTTATGGCTGGGCATGGTAATGTTTAAGGTTTTAGTTAATTTTCAAACTTTTTTTGGTTATATGGTCTTGCTTGTGGGAACACCTGTGTTGGTGTGAGAGGTGGTTAGGTTTGGTAGCACAAAAGTCCTATCCAAACTGCCTAGGACTCAGAAAACAGTGAGAACTCCTTTAAATAACCTAAAAGCCACGTTTGATGTTATGAATGCACATTCCAGTGTTTCTGGCAACATTTCCTTCCAGTTTGTGAGGCCTTACCTGAACTACCCACCAGGGACTTGTCAGGCCTCTGGACTGCCAAGCACAGCTAGTGAAGGGTTAGGAGGTGTGGCAGGGTTGATGCTTAGGTGGCATTATTATGCAAATAGGGACACACTTTGTCTTTTCAGAATCTAATTGCCCTTTTATTCCTCCAGGCTTGCTGAAATACTGCCTTTGGTTAGTTAGAGGAGGGGGACCCATAAGTGTGGGTAGGAGGGGACTTGGGACCAAGGACAAGAGAGGGTAATTGGGTTTAAGTACAACTATAAACCTGCATGAAAAATGCCATAATGAAACCCATTATATTGTACAGTTCATGTACACTAAAAAAATTTTAAGGGGAAAAAACTCACTTCACAATATAAAAAAAAAACAAAAGGGCTACAAAATGCTCTCTTTCATTTCAAATGTTTACTACTGGGGAAAAAAGAGATTTAGAGACACCTTTATGTTGATAAGGTAATTAAAGTAGGTTGAGGGGGTAAATAATCCACAGGTGGAGGTCAATCTAGTTTGTGTTTGGGCCTTTGAAAAGTGCGGCCATACTGGTAGAGAGTGCTTTTAAATGAGCTTGGATTTGAAGTGTCAGAACCTTTGGCAGGGAATTGGGGCTCATGCAGTCTTTCTCCTGGGACTTGTATCACTCATAGCCCAGCTTTGGCTCTGGCTGCCCTGTGGTGTCTCACAGGAAACAATCACCATGCAGCCTGTTCAAAGCTCTCTTAGATCTTTCCTTTTGTTCTTTTGTAAAGTGGTTTGTTTGAGCATTTCTCATCAAGTTTCTTGAAAAGTGCTCTGGCCAACACCTGAGGCTTAGAATTGACCACAATAAAAGTATGCTTCTTGTCTGGTTAGGGCTTGAATTCTTTCTTGTAAGTATTCCTGACACAGTATACCTAAAAGGTAACCTTCTTGCATGCAATTATTTAAAGCTTTATTTCTTTGATTAAGTTAAAAATAAACCATTCTGCAGGCAGGATGTGTTGAGGGTCCGGCTGGGGGGTAAGAGCACAGCTTTCTCTTCTAGAAGGTGGCCATGATACTCTAAAATACTCTTAATATTTTGACGTCTCATTGTAAAGGTTCATTGTGTTTTGGGGGAGGACCGTAAACAGAGAAGTTTCATAAATTATGAAAGTGGCGCTGTCCTCCAGCGTTTCCAGTTTTCTCCTCCCTCATAAGTCTTGCTTTGTAAACAAGGCCTTTGTCAAACCCTCCTAGGTCAGCAGCTTTTTGCTACTCTAGAGAAATAATAAATCACTACTTATGACATTTTGACATGTTGCCACGAGGAGGGCTGACTTATCTCAGGCACCATGCTCAGGACCATTTCCCTGTCTCAGCATTGTGAAGGAGTGTCAGCTAGCCTGAACCACCAGAAGTTTCGATTCATACTCTTTCTAAAGATGCTGTAGGATGTGGATAGTGTGTTCCTTTGCACAAGTGGCCTCAGAAAACTGTGGGTCACAGTTCCCTCCCGTGATAACTTCTAATGAACAAATGAGAAAATGCCTTTCATGAAAAGCCATATTTGGAGGGTTACTTTTGATTTTTTATTTCATGTCATTTATGACAAAAAATAATTTCACTTGTATGGAACTTTTAAGTATCTAGCCAGTTAATGAGATGATGAATTACTGTATAGTAGTTGGGTATAAAACAATACAGATGCTGGTAATTTATTTGGTATCATGTTTAGGAAATTATGGGTGTGTGTTTGCTTGCTATTTCTCTATACAAAAAGTTGTCTAACACTACACTCTGTCAGAGTTTATGGAAAAGCATATTTATTTGCCCTTTCATATACTTATTATAAAAGGACATAATTACTACCAAATTAAATGGGATCTTACACCAGGGTTTGAAAGACTTTATGTCTCTGTTGCTGTTTTATTATAACTTTATTATTTGTCCACATTAATTTAGCACCTTTCCTTGAAAATGTTCAAGATATAGCAGCACTTTTAAATAGTAAAGGTCTTGAATAATTATACTTCGTCAAGCCGTGTAAGGGATTTGATGCAGTCCGGTAGCTAAATGGTGGGTTTTTGAACACTGCCTAGAAAGACCTCATTCACTCTCTCACGTGGTCATCTAGAGTGATGAACTGAATAGTGATACAGATTTTGACTTTTTTTTTTTCTTCAAATTTGTCAGTCTTCCTGCTCTGATATCCCAACTCCTGGAATTACACCTTGTGCTAAGGATAGAACCCAGGGCTCTGTGCATGCCTGGCACATACTCTACCAACTGAGCAGCAGCCCTAGCTCATGGTTTATTTCTGGACTTCAGGGAAACTTGGTGTGAATTGTGGTATTTTACCGGTTCTATGAGGCTGGTGGGACATTCTGACAGGTATATTCCGGCTATAATTCTGGGCGATTTAAAGCATCTAAGAGTACTGCATTTTTTTTGGGAACAAACATCAGTCTTCTTCCAGTATATGATCTACATTTGTGCAAACACTTCCGTGCTAGAAACCCTTTAAAAGAGTTACAAAAGTGTTTGTAACTGATGAATGGAATCCCAAGTATGGTCTGGTGTTTGTAACTGATGAATGGAATCCCCAGAAGTTGAGGCTGAAATAGAACATGACTTGAAAGCCATTAAGGTGTAATTATAAGTCCCTCTTCTTTTAAAAAGCTGGATTTGACATTTGGAAGTTAAAATTATGGAGAGAGAGAGAGAGAGAGAGAGAGGGAGAGGGAGAGGGAGAGAGAGGGAGGGAGGGAGGAAGAAAGAAAGAAAGAAAGAAAGAGCTGAGAATAAATGTACTGTGTTGGCACCCAGGTTATCTGACAGGGAGTCTCTGTGGATTTGCATTCCAGTTGTGCCTGTGTTGTTTGGGATGCTTGTGCATTTCTTTGCCTGTTGGATGTGGTACTGCAGTTTCTGCCTCCCACTGGGAGATGAGCCATCCCTATGGAAATTTATTGTCTGGGAGGAAAGCCTCCTCTGCCCCCAGGCTTTTTAACAACTGGACACATAATAGCTTGGCAAATATTTGCAGCTATTCTGTGGTGTGCTGTTCTGTTCTGAAATGCCATTAAGCAAAGTCCAAAATTCTGTTTTCTTTTGTGTTTTTTGTTTTTTAAATCAGTGGTCAGTAAGAAGTGATGTGGTTTCAGAATTTTCCTGAGTGTCCAAACACGGGAGAAGCAAGTGACCTGCTGAGTCCTGTGACAGGAGATCAGGGCCAGCTCTCTTGACTTCCTAGATAAGATAGGACAGGGTTAGGGTGGTAGAACAACAGAGCAGAGGTGGGGGGTGCAGGTCACCTGGGGTCAAAAGAAAGCCTAGGTCACAGGGACTCAGCTTGGACAAAGCCTTGGGAAGACCACTGTACCTGTTTGGACTGGTTTGCCTGGACCAAGAGGTCAGTCCCACTGGGAGAGAGTTCTTACCAGATGAAGTTGGAGGTTGTAGGAAGCCATGACATACAGGCTAGAGCATGAATCTTTTTTGCTCAGTTTATGTTGGAGGCTTGTCTCTCAGAATCAAATATCTCTATATTATTTGTTTAGTGTGTATATGTTTTGTCTGCATGCATGTCTGTGTACTGTGTGCATGCCTGGTGCTCACAGAGGCCAGAAGTTGCAAACAGTCCAGTCGTCAGCCACCCATGTGGCTCTTCCTCAGGAAGAGCAGCCAGTGCTCTTAATCACTGGGCCAACCCTCCAACCTCTGTCAGAATGTTTGAGCCATAGCTCAAACATGTTGAACATAGCTATATTTTAGACTCATCTGGTATCTTGTGATCCTCCTGCCTCTGCCTCCTTCAGCAAATCCTACCGGCCCATCTGGTAACTTGTATATTCAAGTTCATGGTGAGAATTGAAGACCTTACAAGGATCCTGGCAGTAATGAGCGTTTGTCTACTATAAGCTCACAGGGTGTCTGCACACCTTATATTTTATTTAGTGTCTCTCAAAACTAAACCTGCAGCTGGCTTTCCAGTGTGCCTCTGTGGTAGGAAAGGGACTTGAAATGCAAAGAGGTTCAGTGGACCTGTTGATGGCACTCATCAAT